GGAGACTCTATGGGCAACAAGAATAATGAATTCCTTGAATTCTGAACTGAAATGTCTTTACTAAAATGTTCAATTACTTCCTTAACTTGGCATTCTTGGGAAGAGTGGAGCTTGGCGCGGTACATCGCCTTCGCCTATGCGATCTGCTCGAATCAACATAATATTGAGAGAACGACAATACAGTACGCACCCTTTAGCTGCTTTCAGAACATGAACACAGTTTATTTCTTGCCGAATGTTTTTTTACGGGTAGCTGTCAAGCGCCTCTGTTGTAAGCACGCTTGCACGCGGCCGAAGCTACGACCACTTTCCTGGCCCCGTCACCTAGAGCACAGCATCCTGTACATACTCGCCTCTCTTTCTCAAGAAGATCCTGCACGGGGCGCTGTCTGTAGTGAGTTATTGCGCCGCACATTTCTTGACGCAACACCTAGCCATAGTGAAAATAAAATAATAAACATGAAACAAACATTCGTACTGATAGAAGAGGAGTGCCGAGGGGACAGTTAGTACCTCTATATTGCAATGTTTTCGTTGGCCAGGGCGTACACGGCGAAATTTATTACTTTTACATAGGCGCTCCGTCTTTGATAACTTTAGTCACGGTAAACATTTCGACGCACCCACATCGACACAACACAGACACGTTAATATCTGCTGCTACCCGACGGACTACACGATGACACTGATCAGAGGCACTGACTGGCTGGAAGAGCACCTGTCGCCGCTGCTGCCCTCACTTGATCGGGTAAAAGCCAATCCGATTCATTCATTTAACCAACAGGCAAGGGGGGAGGTTGAGGAGCCGGCCGGCATCCACCAGAGCACGGGAAAAAAAGAATAAGACCTCACAACGAACAAATTAGCTAATTTTGGGATAGCTAATCGCAAATTCGGTGTGGCAGCCATGACTTGGTTGCCACAGACAAGAGCTGGTTGGCTGGTTGCCACAGCGCAGCTGTCGCTGCAGGAGCTAATCGGTTCGTTCTGACAACTAATTGGCTGGTTCGCTGTCAGAAAGGATCCGATTGGCTCCTGCTATGGCAACAATCTCTTATCTGTTGCAACCACCTGTGTGGAACGGTGTAGCTCAATTTCGTCTTTTTATCGCCTTTTGAAAGAGGCGATAGAAAGACGAGAACAAGACCAAAGGATCCGTCAGTTTTCGTCTCTTTTTCGCCTTCCCTCGTCTCCTACTCGTCGAGAAAGTGTACACTTTTGAGACGAGACGGAGACGAGATGAAGACGAACTCATCGCGGCAGTCCAAAGCAGTGTCAGTTGGCGCATCGAACCCGAGAACATCTGCATAGAAATTTATCACGGTGATCACTTACTTGGCCAGAGCGGACACGTGAGAGGCGGCGCAAGAAACGAGGCCCACTCGACCGGGCCCACGGGCCGAGGCGCTCAAATGATGACTGTTCGTGGGAGTGCGGTGCGTGCTGGGCACACCAGGGCCACACTGCTTCCGCATTTACGCGCTGGTCCC